TGTGTGTATGTGTGTGTGTGTGTGTTTGATTGGGTGGGGGTGGGGGGTGCAACCCATCCCCCACCAATCAATCAATAAAAAATAAAAATAAAAATAAAAAAATGATGTGTTTTGAGTCTGGTCAGGTTTTTTATTTTTTTTAAATAATTTAAATGCTAAAAAACTAGAACTAAAAATATGGGGATGTAGAGCGCGAAAGAATCTACAGCCCCATATTTTTTGTTTTTTTTTGTTGATTATTTTTTGTCCGCGAGAAAAAATTTTGCGGGCCACGTTGAACCGCGTTTTAACTTGGTTTCAACGGCCGCTGTAATGGGGTTTCAACGGCCCCCGTTGAACCTTTCAACGGGAAACCCCCGTTGAATCCAATTTCGGACACATAGCACTCGAGGCCTGTTGATTGACTGAAATTTTCCCTTCACACTCGTGTAAAGGTAGGGTAAAAGTTACGTGAGTCATGCATGTGAAAGGTGAGGTCTCACTTGATGTGAGGTTCCATTGGTTTGTTTTGGATTCATTTTGTTTCCTTTGAGTGAAAGTAGGTAGACAGATGCTTGCAAAGACGATTGATTATGCCTATTTGAGATGAAGAAAAAAATTGTCCTCTTTCTACATTTCACCTGCCTGCATGTCAAAAAATTGTCCTCTTTCTACATTTCACCTTCCTATACCTGTCGCAATAATTTTTGTTCTCTATCTTTCTGAATCTTTTAATCTAAGTTGCCTTGAGCTTAGGAAAAATGAGAATAACTGAAGTTTACTCGCCGTGGATACGTTTTCTCTCTCTAGAAACTATTTGGGGCGGGGGTTCGTTACTTTAGGAGTCGGCCTTGTTATTGTCCCGGAGTGGACCGTTCTACCGGGGGGACTCTACCGATTCGGTGGAGATGGCCCGGCTACTGAGATGCGAGCTTTGTGCTTGTGCAAGGAGTACCCCAGACCACTTCCTAGGTGGGACATGTAACACTTCGAGTACCACACCTGATAAAGAATCATCTACAAAGCATCATGTCTTCAAAAAAGACTAAAATATGTGAAAACGGGTTTACGTGTCGAATCTTATGTCGTCGGTAGGGTGGAATGGATTACACTGGCAGCACGTCACATCAAGTCGAAACTGAGGCAGAATGACTACCTTCTCGGTTGCATCGAGGTTATTGTCAGAACCAACTCCTCGTCAATGGTTCTGTACAGTACTACTTGTTGAGTTCGACCCAAGATGGTTGATTTTTATTTTGTGTTATAGGATTTATCATCTAACGTTCGTCCATCACGTTATTGTTTCAACTTATGTTGAATTCGGATGGACATTCCTATTGACTACGGTTGATTCGTCTTAATGTCATTACATTTTATCATCGTACTTTTTGAGTTATAAGTATTAGGGACACGGATTATTTTGCGGGTTTCACGCTTGGTTGAGACCGTCCTCCTCGACCGGCATCCGCTTCGTACTTGGGAGATTAACGCCCTAAGGGACGGACGACATTCGGGTCCACTTGACGTTTAACAAAGTGTTTCCTATTCTACACTGAATCGAGTAAACGCCCTCGATTGATTTACCCCTGCAATTGCACATAAAAGTTTTCGCATGTGGATCAATAGCTCGGTAAGGATACGCACCGTAGGGCGGTGACAGCCCCTTAGGGAAGGTAAGTTGTGCCCCCGTGGAACCTATCCTGTCGTAGGGGATGATGGGAAGTACGGTTGGCGCACCCGGATAGAGCGGCGAGGTGACAACACAACCACGCCCGTCTCGAAGGTTCGCGGGGTTATCTTGCATTGTTCCCAAATTCTTTCTTCTTCTGTTCTGTTTACTCCAGTATGACATGATCGGGAGAGCTCTCGTCTTTTGCAAAAAAGGCAAGAGCCGATGCACTCCTCACTGCCGCCTCTGAATATGGTACCCGCCATGTTGCCAAACAATGGTGCACCAGTCGTGCACTGCCCTTTGAACAGACATTTGCGACCACGTACTCGTCCATTTCGAGTTTCCAGCCTTTCCAAGCTCGAAAAAACTGCCTTTCCCAACCTCTCCGATGAGATCCCGTCTTTCCGCAGGCTAACGTTTCCAACGACCA